ATCAAAGAAAGCTTAGAAAGAACTCCCATGTGCTGAGAGTATTGGAGACACATTAAATATAATTCGAAATTACTTAGCTGAAAACTAATTATGCAAATCAGAAAATTAATATGACCAGATTTGAGTGTAAAACTAATGAGGTCTGCGCAGTGTAACAGAAAATCTATGTCTCCAAGTTTAATTGAAATGTGATTAGAACCAAAAAATTATGAATTATTATGCTTATTAGGGAATTAATATGAACAGATTTTTACCCCAAACTAATTAGGTTTGTACATTGTCCTAGAGCATCTTTGGGTTTATAGTTCCATGTTTGTACTAAGTTTCATTGAAATGGAATAATTAGCACCGTGAAAACTCCAAAATTTCGACCCCTCTAAAAATTAGATCGCCTATTTATTTGCCGGGTTTCGGTGTTTTATTTACCTCCAAATTTTCGACTCCACTAAAAATTGCCGACTCATTCTTATTCGAAAATTGTGACCAGTTTTAGTTTTCCCCCAAACGAAAAAAAAAACGATGTGAGCGTTCAAACGGGACCTTCCTCAAAGGCATGAATCTGCGTTTCTGATTGACTGAGAGATTTTTATTTTATTGGTAACGAAAATATATTCTAAATAAACGAAGTTTCAAATAAAAACGAACACAAAAATCTCGGCATGCTGCGTTTCTGAATTGTTGATTATTACTGTACTCAGTAGTGATTATAATAATGTACACAAAATAAATTTGTTGAATGGTTATGAAATACAAATAAAAGTCAACTTAGTTTCATCGTAAGCGAATGATTCCGGTCTCGTATAAACGTTTGATGCTGTAGGATATCCGCCATGTTCTCTTAGGTCAAATAGGTCAAATCGCTAATTAACCAATCAAAAAGCTGGATGATGCGAAAACGGCATGATTTTTTTTAAATAAAAAAATTAGTTGTTTTTAAAAAATAAACTGGTCATCTGAAGAATAATTTAACATTGTTCACAGTGATAACAGCTCATTCTCGAAAGGAAGCTTACCCGCTCACGCTAGTCA